TAGGGCAATAAAAGCCAACAGATATTGTTAACATCTCTATTAATATTCAAGACCCCCTTTCAGATCTATGATGCATTCACATCCAGATTAACAATACCAGAGCTGATGGGGACATATCAATATTATTATTAGTGCTCACTTATATTTAGTTTCAGTTTGCAGCTTTGAAGTTCCCGTAACTTTTGGTGTTGATAAAAGTGCATGCCAGATTTTCAGATTAAAACAACATTGTTAGTGTCTTACTAGTCCATATCCAAGTATGAATCTATGTGCTGTTATTGAGGGAGAATTGTGCCATCCCACTAAGATTGGAGTTTAATGTTAACTAAGGGTCAGTAATGGCTTCCCGTGATTTAGACAGGGAAGCGTCACTCTTGGCTGACTACAGCAAACCGGATGATGTAGGTTTTTTCCTTTTGGGCTCAATTGTTGCCCTTAAGTTTAAAATACATACTCACAGTGTTTTGTGTAGACTATCCAAGTTTTTAGCAATGTTTGTTTTTGCAATATTTGCCATTCATGAAATGGTGATTCCAAGTATATCCCTAAATGCCTGGCAAAGCATTTGAATGGATTGCATCAGCCATTGTGGAACATTTCCTATTTTAGACCAGGAGGAATTTGTGGGGTCAAACGCTGAACAATGAAAGAGATTCTTGCTCATTGTGAAGCCAGAGGAATCCAGTGGCAGTTGAGGGTTTGAATTGTAAATCAAGTCTGTCATCTCCTTGTCAACTACTAAAAATCTCGACTCACTTGATGCACTATTAGGGTTTGTTATTAGGGTTTTGTGTTGTTCTCCAAAAATCTGCAGGGAAATTAGACTCATGAGGCATTTGTTCTAAATGAGCATTGAATCTGAACTTTGGAAAAGAGCAACGAAAAATAGTACTATTTAGAGATTCTTAAATGATTAGATAGTGCCTGCCACAATTATAACTGTATTTAACCAAAGTTATGGGATCATTCAGTGTTTCTCAAAGGCGCTCTGCAGGAGCTCTAAGCAACCCACACATGGCTAATAGACTGGACTTCAGTGGTTTCAATGTCTATGACAATATTAACAGACTGAATTCATAATGAATTAACACATTTACATGTGAAACTTAATGAAAACTAGCTTCACCTCATAGTTTTCACCAAAAGCAATTTTGAGTTTTCTCCATTAAATCTGGTGAGATTTCTTCTCTGGCCGTAACTGGGAACAGGTGGAATGAGTGGCCTGCACAAACTCTTGCCTTGCTGAAAACTTGGTTCTGGGCCAAAAAGTTTGGGAACCACTGCCTTAGGAGTAGAAAAAAGGCAAGCTGTTTGGGACGATTTATTGTAATGATTCAGGATCCATTATCCATTCCACAAATATTTATTGAACGCCTACTATGTCAGCTCTATGCAGTGGAGCCTGGGGTATGGCGATTGCCAAGCAAAACTTGGTTCGTTAAAACATCTCAGCTAGTAAAACAACTGAATGGGAAATGAGAGGATGAGGCCTGGCTTCTGAGGACCAAATGCAGAGCAACCTGGCTAAAATCATGTCTGAGTAATTTGCCCCCTATTTGATGGATGATAAAAGAATATACACAGGGCTTTAGTAGGAGTCTGTTTGAGAGAATAATTATTACAATATGTGCTGGAAAAGAACATAATAATAGACCATGGCTCCTGACTAATATACCAGACCAGATCATACTAGTTGGTTAAAGTAATGAATCCTATGTGGTAGAGTGGTACCATTTAGTAAACTATCACAAACACCCACACAGAAAGGAATGAGCAAGGGTGTGCTCTTTGCAGAGAGCTAAATGTGGGAACTGCAGCTCATCAAAATAAAGCCACTGAGGTTCACACACGTATATCTACACACCCACTCACCTCAGCCCTTATTAATCACTTAAAACTCATTTTATTGTAGCAACTGCCATTTTACCTTAGGACTTTTGTTCCAATATTATGTTGCCAAAACATTTGGTCCATGGGATCCATAGCATGTAATAAATTGATACAGATTCATTTATGTTTAAAAAAATAAAATAATAAAATGACAGTAGTAACTCAGTTGAACATATTGGTGATTGAACTCTAAACTATTTAAGGGCAGACTGTATTTCTCGGATCAATCATATTCCTTTAAACATAACACCCATACTATGAAGGATCAATAAGACGGACTAAATCTATATGGCTGGACCTTGTTGTCTCCAAGCACCAGCATCATAGTATAATTCCATGGTATTTGCTGCAGCGCATATGCAGATTGTAACCAATAACTAAGATAAGGTAGCTAATGTTGGTATCAAGCAGAATTGCTAAACTATTACCATTATGGGCCTGAATTTACAGGGAAAGTCAGCATTTTTGTGGACTAGAGTTTAGGATAGAGTTGTGGTTATGGTAGAAAAATACTTTCTCTTCATACTTACCTGGCAGGGCGTGGTCAATCTCTTTCCTCACTTTGGCTTATTAATGAATCTGTTTTAACCTTCAGCAGTAGCTCTTCCAATCTAGACCACTTCTGTTAGTTGGACAATAATCTAATTATTATCACTAATTATTACTTTCGGATGTAGGCCATAAATATATTTATATGGAACTTTCCTATTCTACTGTCATGTAATCTTAATATTGGTTAGTAATATAACTAATATTGGCATTCTTTCGTTACTTAAGCAACTAAAGCTCTTACATGGTATCCAAGAAAGATCACCTTATAGCAAACTCTCTTTTATAAATAAGGAATAGTTAATATTAAAGTGAGGTTCCAGCAATGCTTGCCCACAAAAGCTCCCCCCCCCACACACACACACACTTAAATACACAGACCTTTCTCCATAATTTGGAAATATCTTACAGGCCGCCTAACTGATCAGGGTGACACAGGAACGAAGGAGTTGAAGACTGATATTCATATTCCTGTTGTAAAGGAGGGGAAATTGAGGCCTGAAGCAATTATAAGACCTGGCAACAGTCAGGCAGATCATGGCCACAGAGACAGAAAAGTTTCAGGAAAGCATTTTTGAAAATTTACTAGAAAAACAAGGCATATTTAATTAATGGATAACTCAATTATTCTGTTGTTTATTCTATCCTGGATCAAAATCATGTTCTCAGCTTTAAAGTCACTCTTCATTTTGAGGCTTAGAAGTAAGCTGTCAGCCTTCACAGGGGAGAGGAGGGATGCTCTGTGATAAGTGATGGCAAAATCAAATGAATAATGAGGTATGAGAAGTTATTTTAATTGTTCATGACTTACCTCAGACAAGGGCAAGTGGAAAGCTTCTAAAGATAGTTATGGGTTTCTTTTCTTCTTTAGAAAGAATATAATAGAGTAAAAGAGTTAGAATATTTAGAATATATAGTTACAAATATATTTAAAATATAATAGAGTAAAAGAATTTGAACAATATGCCTGACACAGGAAACCTGTAAAATTATGCTGAGTTACTGTGTTGATAGGTGACCAGTGGAAAGTCATTCCAAATGGGGAGAGAAGAGGGCATTACGTGGTGACAATTGTACGATGAGGAGGAATAGTGGTGTGAAGAGAGCTTACACTTTTAAATTTGTCTTGTTTTTTAATATCTGATGAGGAGTGTTATCTAAGGCAAATCTTTTCACTTTGTGTTTCAGAAAAGCAAAAGTAGGCATCTGTTTCCCAAAAAATATATGTGAAATATATTAGTGTCTGGGAGAAGCGTATAATGACAAGCAAATTAGAATTGGGTTTCTTTGCAGGATAATAAAGCTTCCTTGGACAAAGGGTAACTATTCCAAGAGTAAAACTGAGTTCCCTCTTTTGAGGTGAAGGCGACTTGGGACTCCTTTGGAATCACCTACAAGTAGCATTTTAAGGAAGCAAATTGCTTCCTGTGCTCAGAGACAAAGCAGGAGGTTTTAGTTCCATAATAGAGCCATGCCCCACCAGCAGCACATGTAGCCTATTTAAACTCAACTCTAAAATTGGCAAAAAGAAAAGTATGATTTAGAAAACGATTTAAATTGTGGAACTTAAATTTACATAGTACTTCTTATAATATTTTTGAAAACTTTATATTGCTGTATAGATTAGTAACCACAAAACCATGTATATGGTACCTTGATCGGCTTTTGGGAGGATTTGCAAAGTTAATTTTGATATGATCAATTTTTGCCTAATGAACTTACCTAAGAACTTAACCTCTACAGAAGAAAAGACCACACTCTAATTTAACATATGTCTGACATCATAACATAAGGTTTCTGCCTGCAAAGCTACCTTATTCCAGATAATTTATCTAGATCAGAGGAGCAGTGGCCTTAATGTAGTATTAATTTTAAATCAGCCTGTAAGACAAAATTAACAAAATATCCAAGGTAATGTTTTTTGCATTTTCTGATTTCTATTTACCCCTGAATAACTCAGATAATTTTTGTTGAGGCATCATCAGATGCCTGAGATGAAAGGGAATGTAAGACCATGGCTCACCACCAGGGTCATTTGCTAAGCTGGCTGCAGGGCTACTTTTTGTCCCTTGGTCATACTGACGCTTGGTGAAGTGATCATGGGTGGGTGAATCATGTGACCTGTTGCTCAGAGTTGGTCCTCACACTGATGGTTACTCAGTTACTGCCCCTTCTCTTGCTGTCCTAAGCAGCCAACCCCAAAGGACCAGTGCAGACATTGTCTTGGGATCTCCTTACATAGGTGGGGTCTTACCCGATAATAACACCCACCAGGTGGTTTTTCATGGGCAGGATTTCTGCTGCAACAGCCTCATGACATTTTTCTTCAGAGTACAGTAAATATGGACTCAAGAAAACATAGTAGGAACTCAGACTGCAGGGAGAATAATGAACTTCAGCAAGGCGGGACCTGTGTTCATGTTAATATTTTTCTTGTCTAATTTGGGAATTGGCATAGAAAGGGGGCTCCAAGCGATTGCCTTTCTCATGTTTCTCAGGTAGAAGCAGGAGATATTCATGGATTTCTGTTTTCCTTCCTCCCTCTCCCCCTGACCCTTCAGATTTATGAGGAATCCAAGATGAATTTGGAGCAGGAGAGGCCGTTTGTCTGCAGTGCCCCAGGCTGCTCCCAGGTGAGTGTGGGGATCCTCCACTACAGCTTGCAGGGGACACACCTATCTTCCTACAGGCAAGCAACTCTCACTTGGCAATCTTGCCTGCTGAGGGCTTTCCTTCTTTACCAAGATACCGTCAAAGTCCCCCTCACCACCACCATCATCATCTTCTTCATCATTATTACTATTTTCCACCCTGAATAGTTTGAACTATTCCCTCACAGCCTCTGAAATACACTGGTGTTGGTCATTCCACCCATAAGTTTCCCCTGGAAATAAGCCAGACACATCCTGCCCACCAGATGTTCAGAACTGTTATTTCAGAACGGGTGAAGGAGGGTGCCTGCTTTTACAATAGCCACTTGAATACCGGGCCTTTGGATTACTGATGAGATAGCTCACCATCAGAGACTAAATTCTGTTTTGTTTTGTTTTCCCCTTTCAGTAAAATAAACCCCCTATAAGTTTTCTAGAACCCATAGTTTTTTCATTTATCTTAACTTTAAGAGAGGAAGTTGGCCTGCTGTGCTGGATTAAGCCTCTTTTAGCCTCCGGTGGCTCCATCAAGTGGAATCGCTGTGAGGATTAGAGGGGGGTACTGTGTGTAAAGCATTAGTACAGGGCTGCACACAGTGCTCAATTAGTGTCTGCTGTTGCTACTACCACTGCTGCTGCCGCCACTACTGTTATACTGGAACCTACCTCTTTGAAAGAAATTGGAAACATCCATCATCTAAAATCAGAAGTTTTCATTTTCCCTTTGGAAATTGATGGTGACTTTTTTTACACTTGACCCTTTGGGTATCTCCACGTTCCAGTTATTGGAAAATGACCCACATGGTCGCACTCATGCTAAGATCTTCATTTTATGGGATACAGCTTAGAACTCAGAGCACAGGCATCTTTCCAGTGTGGGTAGTTATGCTCTCTTTCCCTAAACTGCCCAGTGGTTTCGAGGGGGTCAAGTCTCACTCTCCTGCCTGTTTATGTGGCAGGGTTGGCAGCACAGCATGGAACAATGTCTAGGAGTCAGATGAGAGGTGATGTCCATTGAGGACCCTCTTATGATATATCCCCCAAGAGTTTGTGGAAGGTTCTGGGAGGCTGTGGCAGCAAGACACCATGGAAACATGAGACATTATTGCTGGTGCTGCCTTGTGGTGTTGCTGGTGATATCAGCCACTGACTGAGAAACCAGAGTCCTTTGCTCAGGTTTTGGCAGCTTCTCCAGGGGCTTTTGTGTGAATGTTGATTTTCAATCTATAAATAAGAAAAGCGGTAGAGAAAATTATTTTGAATTTCAACTGTTTTTCAGCAAACTGGTTTTGGAGGTCATTTTGAAATAGGAAACACTGGGAAAACACAGATAGGTTGATAAGTAACTGGGAAAAATTCTGCTAGACCAGTACTCTCCATTGTGAATACAGACAATCGCCTTATCTAATAAGGTAAATGTGACTCCCACTTAGTTTCCTTACAGAGAAGTCTCAAGAGCCAAAGGGAATCAGATAATTTGAGCAGTTTGCTTTGCTTTGGCTGTGAAAATGTGACATTAAGTTTTATTCAGTTTGAGTCATTCCATACATTTTTGGGGACCCTACTATGTGCATAAGTCACATGTATCCCTGTCCTCACAGCACTGCTAGTCTAGGCATCAAATCTGTAACCACATGATCGATTCAACAATTAATTAGTGAATTGCAATTTTCCATGAAGGAAGAGCACAGGCTACTTTGAAGAATATCATAGGAGGATTTACTTTACTTGGGGAGGATAATGGGGGCTCCTCTATCAAAGGGACATTTAAGGAAATGGGATCCTCAAGAGACCTAGCAAAGGCCAAAGAGGGTTCATAGCAAGTTAGGATTCCAGCAGAGTCCAGAGTTGTGAATGACAATAGAGCAGAGCTGTATGAGGAAGGGGTTGTTAGCCACATCTAATATTTAGATAAGTCAGAGAGAAGAGAACTGCACATAGGTCATTGGACTGTGTGGCAGAATTTCCCAAGCTTGGCACTATTAACATTTGGAGCTGAATAATTCTTTGTTGTGTGTGTGTGTATGGGAAGGGGAGGGGGGTGGTGGTTGTCCCGTACATTATGGGATGTTTAGCAGCATCCCTGACCTCTGTCTGCTAGATCCCAGTAGCACTCCCCAGTTGTGGAAACCAAAAATGTTTCCAGGCATCGCTAAATGTCCCTCTGGGGGCCAAATTGCCCTTAGTTGAGAATGGCTGCCCGATGGTTTTGCATTTTGGCATTAGCCATGTTTCTTTTTGGATCCCTTCCCTTTTGTTGGTCACCTACTTGTCATTGATGGTCTCCCACTCTAATTTATGTATTGCTATAAGCTGTCTTTTCTCCTTTTTGGAATCAAGCAGAGTATAAATAAATAAATGCCACAGACGTGTGGTCACTGGTGTTGGACGCTGCTGGAGCTGGGACAGTGAGAGGCCTCAGCAGAGGCTGTTGGATTTGGCAGTTGGGTGCTTGCCGGCGACCTATGAGAGAGGAGTCCGGGCGCAGGCCAGATTGGAAGGGATTAACGAGTGAGTGGGTGGTGAGGAAGTGGAGGTGGCCCGCATAGAGGACTCTTTCAAGAGAGCTGGGGAGTGACGGGAAGCAGAGTGATATAATGGTAGCCTGAGAAGGAAGCAGCTTGAGAGAGGTTCTTTTTAAATTAAAGGCTAGCCAGGCTGGATTTAGTCAAGGGCAAGGAGGTGTGCGCATGCTCGCTTCCAGGACCACAGCTGAAGCGCCACTCTCCAGAAGATATGGGGTGTAGAGATTCCTGCGGAGGAAAGGCGGGTGCTTATTCCTCTGTGACAGGAGGAAATGGAAATGGAATCGATGAAGTTACACACAAATTCTGAGGTGGAGGTGGTAATAAAGATTGAGGAGGCAGCTTTCGAATGACCGTGAACTTCTCAGTGAAGGAGCAGGTCATTTCCTTGAGAAGGCTGAGTAGACTGAGGAAAAGGTTGGACAAACACGAGAACTGAGGATTTACGTAGTTTCTTGGTTTAAAGGTGAAATTCCAAGCCTCTCCCCTCAACCCCCTGCCAAATTTAAATATAAAGATGTATCTAAAACTTGATGTCTCTATTTAGTGTGGAAGTATTTCTTTTTCTTGACAAGCTGTTATAAAAATATGTGCTTCTTTCAGTTGAAGAGGTATTACAATCGAGAAAATGTAGGAGTTGCCCAGTGATTCCAAGGGTGTCCTGGTGGGGTGTTAGGAAATCACAGTCGAGTCTGTTGTGACCATGGCATTTACTTTAGCGACATTCTGTAGCTTGGGAACATGCATGGAGGAGACAGGATGGCTGGGAATTGGAAAGAGGAGTAAATATGAATTATCAGTGCCTGCGCTGTGTTGGGGGTGATGGATGATTTTCCCCCCTTTTGCCGTCATTGGAAAGAAACTTTGCTCTATTGGAAAGGCTTATAATATCTGGGAAGTTTCTCGTGTTACAGCTCCTTATACAGTATCTCTGTCCCAGAAGTAAAGAGAACCAGGCTTCTCTTGCTCTTTCTGCTCTCACAGAGTCCAAAGTTAATTTCGTTGTTCCTTCGCCCTCTGCATTAACCATGTTTTGAGTCCCAGTGGCCTCTCTCAGCTCTATATCTGTTGCAGACTGTACATTTTCGTTATTTACAATTTGTTGCTATTTGCCTACCAAATTAAAACAAAAAAACCACAGATGTCCTATATTATCTCTTTTGGAAGGTATTTATAGTTAATATGAGATATTATGGAAATTATTATTATTAAATAAGTATTGTGGTTAATATTCTATTTTAGGCTATTATTTTATGGAGTCAAAAAATGGCTTACAGATACAAAATGAAGGATACCATCATGTTTTTTGTTGATTATATTTATCATAGAAAAAATTATAGTAAGACTTTTGACAGAAAGACTAAGAAATTTAACCTATGTCTCTAAGCCAAACATGGTGGTGTCACACATTTGGTGCAGTCATTATATGGTGTTACAGAAGACCAAGAAAATTGATGAACCTGCAGCGAAAGCCCCCATGTCATTATAAATCAGACTTACATGTATCCAGAAATCTGGCATAATTACCGTGTTTTGCAAATTCTGGACTCTCCAATTTATATGATACAAGTGACAAATAAATAAGTGATATTTGGGGCTGGCCTGGGGGCACAAGCAGTTAAGTGTGTGCACTCGCTGCGGCGGTCCGGGTTTCGCTGGTTCGGATCCCGGGCGCACACTGACGCACCGCTTGGCAAGCCATGCTGTGGCGGCATCCCATATAAAGTGGAGGAAGATGGGCACAGATGTTAGCCCAGGGCCAGTCTTCCTCAGCAAAAAAAGAGGAGGATTGGCAGCCGTTAGCACAGGGCTGATCTCCTCACAAAAAAAAAAAGTGATATTTATTCAAAGATCTAGTTTCTGAATAGTCCTAAGGATTTAGCCCAGTGAATGCCATCATTCTCACAAACACAAATCCATACTATTTGCAGAAAAGATTTCTACCATAGTATGCAATGGTAGGTGGTCTAGTGGTTCAGATTTGGCACTGTCACCAGTGCAGCCCAGCTTCATTTCCCCGTCAGGGAACCACACCACCTGTCTGTTGGTTGTCATATTGTGGTGGTTGTGTGTTGCTGTGATGCTGAAAGCTATGCCACCATCATTTCAAATATCAGCAGGGTCACCCATAGAGGACAAGTTTCAGTGGAGCTTCCAGACTAAGACAGACTAGGAAGAAGGACCTGGTCACACGCTTCTGAAAAAATTAGCCATGAAAATCCTATGAATAGCATAGGAGCATTGTCTAACATAGCGCTGGAAGGTGAGAGGATGGTCGCTACGAGTCAAAATGGAATCAACAGCACTAACAACAATAAATATAACGGTAATTGATACTTACAATGACTGTTGTGAGGAACTGGGAAGCTAAGAAAGATTTTCTGGATTGTCAAAGATTTGGAAATCTTCCGCAGTGTTTATTGTCTTTTGTTGTATTTTCATTTGACTTTGATAAAGCAGATCCTCTGTTAAGTTCAGTTATTAAAACATACCAGTCTGAGTCAGGATAGGCTAGGCTCTGGTACAGTAACAAATTACCCCAAAGCTTCAATGGCTTAAAACAACAAAGGCTTATTTCAGTTGCCCAAGCATACATATTTTAGATTGGCAGGATGTTCTTCTAATCCTTCAGAATTCAGAAATGTTCTTAATAATCCTTCAGAGACTTAGGATGATGGTGGGGCCACTATTTCTAATATTCTCAATTGCCATGCTAAAAGGGAGGAGGGAGAACTCTAGAGAGTCTTGCACCAGGAATTAGATTCTTGCATCTGGGTGAGGTGTCACTTCCATTTATGACTCACTGGGCAGAACTAATCACATGGCCCCACCCAACCACAAGAGGGCCAGGAAATCCAATCATGGATGTGACCAGAAGTCAGACAGCTGAAAATGTTTGGGAGCAGCATTTTTGACAACCATAATATCATTCTGTGAAAATTAAAAATAAAGTGTTGATTTACTACAGATATATTCTATACTACAGAGTATAGAATACTAAAAATACTTTGTCATGTTTTGTATGTCATAAGTATAATTATAAAAAATCAGATAATGAGTGTGCAAGGTTTTCATAAACAGAAACATACTATACAAATGTCTTGGTGTACATTTGTAGCTATATATATGTCAAATAATTAAGCATGACATGTATTTCTTTCCCAAAGTCTGACATGAATCAAAATTCTTTTTCTACTTCATGCATTTCTCCTGCTGTTGGATAATCTGTAGATAATGTCTAGCAGACTTATTATGCCTTAGACTTAATTTTATGCTATTATATAGAACAGTAATTACTAGAGAAAAGTTCCAAATAGTTTTGCAAAACCAGTGCTATTCAGGTCTAAATCCACTTTCCTATTTTGGACATGGTTTTCTCACACGTATAGGTAGAAATGGGAGAATTATACTTGCGTCATGCTGTCATTGTTAATTATTCTGTGTGATCATAAATGAACATTCATTTAAACACTCTTTTATTCTTTAAAAGCATAACATATTTCTGTTGTATATATTATTTTAACACTTAAATATTGTTCGTTTACCTCTTTCTGTTTTATACTTTAACTAAACACAAATTTAAAATCTACCCTCAGATGCAAACCTCTAGTGCTTAAGGAAATATCTAGTTTACTAGTCATCACAGTTGGTTATATTCAAAGACTAGCGGAGAAGTAGAAGCCTTTAAAAGGAATTCCCAGGGAAGGTGTGGGGAATCAGAGGTGATGGAAAGCAAAGATCGCCTATGTCTTATTAGTATTCAGCCAGATTTTTCTGCAACATAGTTAAGCCCCTGGTAAATGATGATAGAAATAATGATGCATATATTTGGGTGTAATTCAAAGGAATATCCCAGCACATTTGCTTGCATAAAATAATTTGTCATTTTACTTATCATGCTTTCACACTTTTTCAGAACTAATTTTTTGTTTTGCCTGTCATGTTTGCAATGCTGAATAAACCTTTTTCTCTATGATGGCAAATATATATTACAAGACTGAATGGCTCGTCTCCCCTCTCCCTTTTTTTCTATTTGACAGCGCTTCCCAACAGAGGACCATCTGATGATTCATAGGCACAAGCATGAAATGACTTTGAAGTTTCCCTCAATAAAAACAGACAATATGTTATCAGGTAAGGAGCCACCAGGCAAAAAAACTTTGGGTGATCAGATCAGCCACATGCAATGTACTCGTTCTACTTACGATAGGATGGTTTCCACTGGAAATTCTGTGCCTTGAAAATATACATTTCTAAGGTATAGCAGAGACTTAAAATAATGGTAAGCAGAAATGTAATCAGCTAATGCAGTGTTCACTCTAATTGAAGAGCTATGACTTTTCATTTTCAGGAATATAAAATATTTATTGCTAGAAAACTTGGCTCCATTTAAGTATTTTAAAAAATCACGTCCTTAAAGTCACTCAAGCAAAAAATCTCAATTGAGTATCTGTAACACTCACTGCACTCTTCTGAGTGCCATGGGAGGTGCGAAGATTAATATGATTCCTGTTCTCGAGGACATCACAATATTGTGTGCACGTGAAAGTTTAGCTAACATAGAGGGCTGTCTGTGATACATGTCAAATGAGTATTGTAAGGAAAATGATGTTATGTGACTTGAATAGAAGGAGCCCTCTTTCTACTACTACTATTGTGAAGATCCACTGAAAGAATGTAAATGAAAGCATTTCATAAACCCTAGCAGGGTAATTGAGGCATTTCCTATTACCCTTCTTAGGCTAGAAATATTTCACCTGAGCCGCTGTCTCCCTGGCATCATTAAAGAGATAATACCTCCATGAAAATGTTTTAAATGATATCAGAAGAGAAACTGACTGTCCTGGCAGGCCTGGCTCATATAGTTTAGCATTTCTATGGCACTTAAACTTTACAAGTGTTTTATTACGCCTATTATTAGTAAATCTTTTAAAAGTTTTGTCAGACAAGTATTATTATAGCCCATATTTTACTGATAGAGGAGGAGGGGCACAGGGAGATGGAGCAGCTTTCCCGGGGCTCACCAAGCAGGTTGAAGATGAAGGCCCTCGATCCTGCAGTCCTAACCCACTGACTTGCACTGGCTAGGGCGTTGTTAGGCTTGACCAGTTTATATACACAATCAAATAGTCCTGGTGACAGAGCCATCCACACGTCTTCACAAACCCGCCAGGGACTTGTTAAAAGTGCAGATGCGCTGTGGGTTGGAAGACTCTGCAAGTTCAAAGGCAGCCTCTTCCTTTCTCTCCACCACCACCTACCACCTCTCTCTCAGCCTGTTCATTTTTATTGAACTAGCTGGCACTTCAGAAATAGTTTTGTCTTTCCTTAAGTCTAGAAACAGAGATGCAGAAATTCAGATTTGTAAGACTCATAAAAGCCTAGAAGGGTTAGGAAGGACGGTCTGTCCTTTTGTTTTTATCATTTATCATATTCTATAGAATCACACGTGGTATAACTGTATAATTCAACAATGAACATATACATGCAAATAGCAAGGTCATAGACTTTGCAATTCCCAATGTTTAAATTCATAAGTTCTCTTTTTATTTTTTCCAAATCGGATTCCTAAAATAGGCTGCCTGGTGGTAGGGGAGCGGGAGGTGGTAGGGAGTGGTATTCACATGGAAATGTTACTACTAGAGTGGTAAGTACCAGCCCAGTGTCTTTCAGGCAGGCTGCTAGGATGGCCCTACAAGGAGCCCCAGGTGAAGAGCTGAAAGAAAGTAGCTAAAGATGTGTGAACACTTCTATATATTGCTGAACAACAGGTTGTGTTTTTTGTGTGTGTAAGGAAGATCAGCCCTGAGCTAACATCCATGCCAATCCTCCTCGTTTTTTGCTGAGGAAGACTGGCACTGAGCTAACATCCGTGCCCATCTTCCTCCACTTTTTTTATATGGGACGCTGCCACAGCATGGCCTGAGAAGCGGTGCGTCGGTGCGCGCCCAGGATCCGAACCCGGGCTGCCAGCAGCAGAGCACGCGCACTTAAACGCGCTGCTGGGCCAGCCCCAGCAGGTTTTTGATTAAGCTCTTGCAGCTTTTCAATTGTTCTTACTAGATCCTTGTTAGTTTGAGGCTGTTGCTGCCAATAATTGGCAGTGCCAGGTGGAAAATGATTGAGAGAAAAGTCACTCTAATTTTTATTATGTCAAACTTGGGATAAGAAAAGGAAGGGAGAAATACATATGAGGAAAAACAGCATGAATAATATATTGGCATATTTTCTTTTGCTTTCTCATGTTTTATGCTGAAGCTGGTATGAGTCCATTTCCTACTCTCAATGAACTTAAGAGCTAAATTTTTAAACTTGCTGCCCACTCTGCATGTTCGTAGTCCTGTAGAATTTTCTTGCTGGAATGGAATACAGAGCCATCAGTCCAGCTCTGTTACTTTGCATTTAGGGGACTGAGGTCTACTACATGGCATATGCCATTGTTGTCCACACTGAATTGTAACAGGCAATCTATTGGGTATTTTTGCTTTGCTATTTTTTTCCCAGGGAAGACGTAAATATGTGCTTATCTCAAACCTCATTTTAGTTTTAGCATATTAGACTGTGATTGCAAATATGACTGAAGTTTTACTTGTCTATACCTTGATTTATTTAGATTTGAATTTATCAAAAATGTCAGAATCTAATTTTATTTAAAATATATTCATTAAAATTTTATTTCTTAATGTACTTGAAGCCTATTTTGTGGCCTATCATGAAGATGAGTGATTTCATACAGTTTGAAATATAGTAAGATTAAAAATAGTGTAAACCAAATCTTAAATCAGCGAGCATCATCAGGACAAAAACCTTCAAGTCCCTCTTGGGCCGTTTTTTTTCAAGCAATATTCAATTACACAAAATTTCATTTCAGATGAATTGGAGTTTGACATATATTAAGAAGATAAAGATGGTAGGTACGTACATTGCTAATTTCAGGATATCTGGTTAACCTGTATTTTGGAAAATCACTTCACCCTTCATTAATTGCAAATATTACAGTGAGGGAAGTTATTTAGATGCCACAAATATACTCTTCAAGGATAAATGTCCTTAGAGTTGTAAGATCTGAAATAATTTCATAGCTTTGCCATAAAGTCCGTTTTATTTAGGCCAGGTAGAGTTTACTACTCAAAATGATTGTAAATGATCTCTGACATGCCACCAGGCAGGGTAGTAAAAGTGACAGTCATGGTGTTTTGTTAAGATGAGTCTGCTTTTATGGACAGACAGTAAACATAAAACCTCCATTTCTAAAGGGACACTACCTATAGGGACAAGAATGGGGGTAGTGGTGTTGGATTCTGAGGGCAAAGACTTACAGCCCCTCCCACCTTGGTCCTTCCATCCTTATTTGGTTCATGTGGTACATTTCCAGAGTCCTCATATGATGATGAACATGACCCTTTCCCTTCAGCTCTTCTCAATCTGATAGAAGGTAATTTCATGGTGAGGGAAGTAGTGATATCGAAGGTTTTCAGATGCCAAGTTTAAAGCGAGAATCCACTGAGGACAATATGCTTCCACGCACAGGTTGCTATTATATGACACAGGATCTGTTTGGTTTGAAAATTATGAAAATTTTAGTATTAGAGGTAAAGAGGATGATGTTTGGGTCTATTTAAATGGTATTATGGTTAGGGACCCAGGAATTCCCAAATCTTACCTTGTCAGAAATCCCTACCTTCACTTATTTACAGGTTTCCCAACTTCTGTACAGGACAAAAACTGAATGATAATCAAAGTGCAGCTTTATTTATAGCTGAACAAGCAAATAATATTCCAAATGAGAACTGTGCTTGTGTGTGTATTGTTGTGTGCTGGGGGAGTATGGTGGAAATATTGACCTAGAAGATTATGGATTTTGCTTCGTGAAAGAGAAGATGAAGTTCGAGAGTGTTGTAGACCTTTCCCCAAGGATAAAACCCAATCAACATCTCAGGTGGGAAGCCTGAGAAAGAGACATGTGGGACCACACCTTTAAATGCCTAGTGATCCTACCACCAGACACCATAGCCCAATTAATGCTGCAGGCAACTGGTGTGTGCTTGGAGGGAAATTAGGACAGGTACCAACTGAGGTGTGGGAAGAGGGGCTGAGGTTGCCCCTCCCCCACCACTTACCCATTCATTCAATAAATACTTATTGAGTGCCTACAAGAATCCTATTGTGCTAGGTGCTGGGGATGCTGCACTGAACAAGGCAGATGAGGTCCCTTTTCCATGGAACTTACTACACTCTATTGGGGGGTGGGGAGGAAGAGAGAATAGACCAAAAGAAAAAAACCCCAGAATAAATAAATAAGAAAATATCAGTTCATGACAAGTGCTATGATGAAGATAAAACATGACAGTGTGACACAAATGGCCAGCACGTTGCCTAAGGGAGGTCAGGAAAGGCCTGTCTGCAGGGGTGGCATTTCATTCAAGACCTGATGTTCAGCAGTGTGGGCTCAGGTGTCCCTTCTCCCTGACTTCTGAATATGGTGGGACTGGAGGTGGTAAAACCGCAAGACCAGATGTAGTGTAGCTGACTGTATCTTGAGCTGACACATAGAGGCGAGAGAGACTGGCTTCCTCCTTCCATCTTCCTTATCACCATCTGATACAGAGCATCTGACATAAATGACAATATAGTCCTTCAAAAACCAATTGTGTTCTTGAATTGGGTCTAGAATTAGGGCCTATCTCTAGTTTCAGGCTCTAAGCCTAATTCTCACTATGGAGAAAGCACGAATGTTTTTCAATGAAGTAGAACATTTGTCTCCAAGAGATTGATCATGATCAACCAGACAATCTCAGAACCCAAATCCACTGCTCACGGCTCTTTGCTACAAACCCTATTTAATAATCTATGGGCATTTTAAGGGGGAAGTCAGAGGGAAGGTGACATATCTCACTCCAAATTCTTTTTGGAATGAACTGGGATGTAAAAAGACCCAAGTGAGTAAGTGAATAAATCACACACACACACACACACACACACACTTACCTCTTCACCCATTGATGGTAAGGTACATAATGACTTCCCACTATGTAAATTAATCAGATCTTTATGGAACAGAGGGTGGTGGAGATGGCTTGCACCAGAGGGCAGCATGATAATAACAATAGCTGCCATTCATTGCCTTATTTTAC